GAACCCTTCTTCGGGTGATTTCAATAGGAAACCGTCTATGGAGGGCTTCGCATGGAACCCTTCTGTTGAGGATTTCAATTTGAACTCTTCTTGTGGGGGGATTCAATACATCCTTTTTGTGGGGGTGTTCAATAGGAATCCTTCTGTGAAGTGTTTGAGTAGGACTCGCCAGCGCAATGTCAACGCAATGCCGCCGCACTGCTAACACACTGCCATCGCAATGCCAACGCAATGCCAATGCGATGCCAAACCGTTGCCAAACCAATGCCAATGCAATGCCGATGGCGGGATTCCTGTCTTCCAACAGATTTCACGAGGAATCCTTATGTGGATGATTTGGTTACGAATCCTTCTTCGAAGATTTCGATAGGAATCCTCCCGTGGAGGGTTTCGATTGGAATCTTTCTGTGGGGGTTTCACTTTGAATCCTTCATGTGGGGGTGCGAGGCTTTCATAGGAATCCTTCTGTGGGGGGAGTCATTAGACCTCGCCAGCGCAATGCCAACGCAATACCAACGAAATGCCAAACCAATGCCAAAGCGATCCCAATTCAATGCCAATGCAATGCCAATGGGGGAAATCTTTTGTGGCCGGATTCAAGAATAATCCTTCTATGGAGGGCTTCAAAATCCTTTCGTGAGGGAGATCAATGTGAACCCTTCTTGTGGGAGGCTTCAATCGGACTCCTTCTTGTGGGGGGTTCAACAGGAATCATTCTGCGAAGGGAGGTGTTGGAACTTGCCAGCGCCCAGCGCAATGCCAACGCAGTGCCAACGCAACGCCACACCAATGCCAAAGCGATCCCAACCCAATGCCAATGCACTGCCAATGGGGGAACTCCTGTGTGGTAGATTTCAATAGGAATCCTTCTGTGGAAGGTTTCGCATGGAATGCCTCTGGTCATTATGGACCGTTTTGTGGAGGGTTTCAAGGGGAATCCTTCTTGTAGGAGGTTTCGATCGGAGCCCTTATGTGGAGGTTTCCACTAGGACTCGCCAGCGCAATGCTTGCGAAATGCAAGCACGCTGGCAACGCATTGCCAAGCGCAATGCCAACGCAATGCCAATGCGATGCCAAACAATTGCCAAACCACTGCCAATGCAATGCCAACGGGGGGTTCTTTCATTCGAAGCATCTCAATATCAATCTTTCTGCGGGTGATTTCAATAGGAATCCATCTGTGGAGGATTTCAATAGGAATCATTCAGTGGAGGGTTTCGATAGGAATCCTTTTATAGAGGATTGCACTATGAATCCTCCTTGTGGGGGCGTTCAATAGAAATCCTTCTACGGGAGAAGGCAGATGAGGCCACGTCGCATTTCTTTTTTTTGCCGCCGACCCCCCCCCCCCGGGAAAAGAAAAGAATAACAAAACAATATGGTCCGTATTTTTTGGGGGAGGGGGGCGAGCGAACAAAAAAGGAGTAGGAGGAGGAGGCGCAATGCTTGCGAAATGCAAGCACACTGGCAACGCACTGCCAAGCGCAATGCCAACGCGATGCCACTGCGATGCCAACCCATTACCAAACCAATGCCCATGCAATGCCAACGGGGGATTCTTTCTTTGGAAGCGTCTCAATATCAATCCTTCTGCGGCTGATTTCAATAGGAATCCATCTGTGGAGGATTTCAGTAGGAATCATTAAGTGGAGGGTTTCGATAGGAATCCTTCTGTAGAGGATTTCACTATGAATCCGTCTTGTGGGGGCGGTCAATAGAAATCCTTGTAGGGGGGAGGGCAGATGAGGCCACGTCGCATTCCTTTTTCTTCGCCGCCGACCCCACCCCCGAGAACAGAAAAACTGGTCCGTTTTTTTTGTTTGGGGCGAGGAGGGGTGAGAGAAAGAAAAGGAGGAGGAGGAGGAGGAGGAGGAGGAGGAGGAGGAGGAGGAGGAGGAGGGGGAGGCGGAAGGAGAGGAGGACGCCACAGAGTACAGGAGGAGGAGGAGGAGGAGGAGGAGGAGTGCCTTGACCCCTCCCCCTCCCCCTTCGGTCTGGACGGGGCGCCCCGTGACCGATGGGAGCATCCAACGAGGGCTCCCAACTTCGCGCTCTCGCGCTCCGCGAGGCGCGAGAGCGCGAATGACTTCGCGCTCTCGCGCCGCCACCCCCAAAGGGGGAAAAGGAAGACGAGGAGGAGGAGGGGGAGAAGGAACGAGGACCGCGAAGCGCGAACAGCTTCGCGCCTTCGTGGGAGCCCTTGTCCAAGGTGGCCTCGGCGCGAAGGCACAACTCCCTGATATGGCTTGCGTGTTGGGCCCATTTCGACCTCCTGTGGGGGGGCCAAATATAGTACCCCGCTTGTTTGGTCGACCCCCTCCAAGGTGACCCCAAGATGACCCCCAACGCTCCCAAGAATGCCCCAAGAGGGACCCAAGAAGCACTCAGGAGGACCCAAGAGGCCCCCAAGTGGTGCCCAAGAGGCTCCCCCGAGGCACCCAAGGAGCCCAAGAGGCTCACCCGAGGCACCCAAGAAGCCTCAAGAGGCCCCCGGGACCGCAAAGAGGCCCCCACGACGCCCCACGAGGCCTACAAGAAGCTGCCAAGAGACATCCGAAGAGACTCCGAGAAGCATCGAAGAGGCCTCTGGCCTCCCTCCTCCTCCTCCTGCTCCTAGTCCTCCCCCTCCTCCCCCTCCTCCTCCTCCTTCTCCTCCTCCTCCTCCTCCTCCTCCTCTTCCCTCCTCCCCTCCTCCCCCTCCCCGTCTCCCTCGTTCTCCTCCTCCTCCGTTTCCTCCTTTATCCCTTGGGGTCTGACGTCTGACCCAAACCTTTCTTCCACTGCATGCGCATCCACATACCTGACATCGTTTCTGGATGGACTGGGGGGGTTACGCGAAGGGTCTAGATTCGAGGCTAAAACAAAATCCTTCGAACATAACACCGCTGCGTTCAAACACGACTGCATCAACCAGAGATCTTCCGCGAACAAGTCGTGCAAATCAAAGAACGGTTCTTCGAACACTACCTGGTGGGCCCCTGGGCAGGTCAGGACGCTTCGCCGCTGCTTGAACAAAGGAGGAGGAAGAGGAGGAGGAGGAGGAGGAGGGAAGAGGAGGAGGAGGAGGAGGAGGAGAGGAGAGGAGGAAGAGGAGGAGGAGGAGGGCCCCGCCCGCACCGCCGGGGCGGGCAGCGGCGCCCAGCGGCGGCCGGCGGGGCCCCCGCGGCGAGCGCCTGCGCGGGCGCCTGCTGCGCGGGCGCCGGCGCGTGCGGCGGCGCCGCGGCGCGGGCCGGGGGGGCCGCCGCGGCAGGGCTGGCCGCGGCGTGCGCCTGCGCGGGCGCCGCGCGGGCGCCGGCGCGCGGCGGCGGCCTGCGGGGCCACCTGGGCGGGGCCAGCTGCGGGGTGGCTCTCGGGGAGGGCGCGGCGGGGGGCCAGCCCAGGCGCGTCAGCCGCCGTGGCCGCCGAGGCGGCCCCGAGGCACCCCAAGAGGGCCCCTAAGTTGGTCCACAGAGAGGCCGCCAAGACGCCGTCCGACGGCGTCTTGGGGGCCCGAAGACGGCAGAGCAGGCTCCCGGGAAGCGCCCTGAGGTCGCCCAAGAGGCCTCCGAGACCGCCCCACGAGGACCCCGAAGGCGGCCGCAGCGGCCTCAAAGACGCCCACGAGGGCCTCCGAGGCGGCCCTGAAACTCCCCAAGAGGGCCCCAAGTTGGTTCAGAGAGCTCCTCCTCCTCCTCCTCCTCCTCCTCCTCCTCCTCCTCCTCCTCCTCCTCCTCCTCTTCCTCTTCCTCCTCCTCCTCCTCCTCCTCCTCCTCCTCCTCCTCCTCCTCCTCCTCGCCACCAAGGCGCCTTCCGACGGCGCCTCGGGGGCCAGGAGCGCCCTAAGACGGCCAACGAGGCTCCCCAAGGAGGCCCTCAAGAAGCCTCTATAAGAGGCCCCCAGGGAGCTCCCATGGGGGCCCCAAGAGTGCCCCACGCGGCTCCGAAGAGGCCTCCTCCGCCTTCTCCTCCTCCTTGTTCCTCCCTCTCCTCATCCTCTTTCTTCTTTCTCATCTTTCTCTCCTTCTTTCCTCCCTCTCCTCATCCTCCCTCTCCTCATCCTCGTCCTCTCCTCCTTGTTCCTCCCTCCCCTCATCCTCTTTCTTCCCCCACTTCTTTCCCGAAGGGTTCCCACAACGGCTGGAGGAACACATGGTCAAATTGCTTGGCCAAACTTTGCCCCAAAACGTTTGGCCACATAGGCGTATCCTGAAAAAGCAGGGACGGCGGTGATTCACCGTAGGCGTCTTCGACAATTCGCCGGCCCAACGGGCCAGAGGCGTGCTAAGATCTCTGGTAACTGCTAAATAATACTTCTACTTCGCGCGCGCGGGGCGGCCCCTGGGGGTCCCCGGACGAAAAGTACCCTGGGCGATCCCCGGCAGGGTCGGATCAGAGATGCTTTTCCTCCTGGGCGCCGCCCCCGTGGCCCTCCAGAGAGCCCCAAGAAGGGCCACGAGGCCGCCAAGAGCCCTCCAAGATGGTTCAAGAGTGCTCCGAGATGCCACACGATCGTTCCAAGACGCCCAAGATGGCCCCCAGACGCCCCAAGAGGCCTCCAAGAGCACTCCCCAGAGGGCCCCAAGAGGCAAAATTCATTACTTTTCCTTAGGTTTTGGGCAGATTTTGGCGTGTCCATCTTTTCGGCTTCCCGACGCCCCAAGACGGCCCAAGAGGCCCCCAAGATCGCCCCAAGAGGGCCCAAGAAGCTCCCAAGAAGGCCCCAAGATGGCCCAAGAGGGCTCCAAGACGGCCCCAGAGGCATCCAAGACGGCCCAAGAGGGGCCCAAGAGGGCCCCAAGCGATGCCCCAAAGGGGGAACACAAAACAAACTTCGAGCCCTCGGCCTTAAGAAGCCCCCAGGAGGCCCCTGAGAGGCCCCAAAAGCCCCCAAGAGGCCCTCAGGAGGCCCCCAAGCGACGCTGAAGAGGCCCCCCAGCGGCCCCAAGAGGCTCAGTCATGCGAAATGGGCCGGCGGAATGAGCGAAGCGATTCAATAGCACGAAATGATGGGAGCATTTATAGCAATCATAAGGATCAAACAACGACATGACACCTCGGAGTTTCCATGGCCCCGGCCATGACATCCACCTGCACAACTAGCCCTCACCCCGCTCTTTTTATACCCAGAGCATGGCCGCCTCCTGCGTGTAAACCATCACGTTGCACCTGAATGGAATACACTGTATGTACAGTACACACCCTCGCCATGCGCAGAAAGGACAAGACCCGAGATTTGCGCTGGTTCCAGCAGCAGGGCTGGCAGCTGCCTTGGCATTGGCCCCACCAATAGGCAACGAATCCTAGCCACCACGTGGGCAAATCAAGCGCATCTCTCCCCGCGGAGCCTGGCAGCAACGCCAGGAGGGCCTAACGAGGAGGACGAGGAGGACGACTGGGAGGGCGGCTGGAGGGAGACGGGGAGGGAGGGTGCCCCAAAAAAGTGCCCGCGAGCGAGCCTGGTGACCCTCCAGGTGCGCTCAAGACATGAAACGTAGCGCGGACCCGGCTGCGCAACCGCCGCGGCCTGGAGCCGGCCGCCCACGACGGCCCCGCCAGCCCAGCGGGGCCCGCGACCCCCAGGCCGCCGGGCTGGAGAGGACCTCGCCCCCGGGGACCTCACGGTGGCGCGGCCCCGTGCGCCGACAGCACGTCGCCCGGCTCGGTGTACTCCTGCCAGGAGCCGTAGGACCAGAACGCCCTCCCGGACGTCTCCCGCACCCACTTCCGGTGCAGCGCCATGCCGGTGAGCACCGCCGTCTTCATGTCGGTGATCAGGGAGGTGCCGCTGTCGATGGCCGCCCGCCGGATGTCGAAGCCGTCCGTGAGCGCCTGCGAGTCCATGCCGTCGGGCACGTTGATGACGAGGTCGAGCGCGCCGCCCTGCAGCAAGGTCAGCACATTCGGCTCCCTCTTCACGCGCGCCTTGAACGTGAAGACGCAGGACTCGATGCCGTGGTTCTTGAGAGCCTCGTGAGTGCCCTTTGTTGCATACAACTGGAACCCCATGGCCACGAACAAGTCGGCGACCTCCAAAAACTCATGCTTTTGCGACCTCGGGCCGATGGATACCAAAATGTTCTTGGCCGGAAGCTTGAAACCGGTGGCGATCATCGCCTTCAGGAAGGCTTCGTACTTGTTCACCCCGAAGCACGCCACCTCGCCAGTAGACTGCATCTCCACTCCAAGCCTCGGGTCGGAGTTCTTCAGCCGCCCGAACGAGAACACGGGCGCCTTGCACGCAACGTACTCCATGTCCATCGGCTGCACTGGCTTGGGGTGCACAGGCATGCCAAGGAACACCCGAGTCGCGAGCTCGATGAAATTAATGTTGTAGGTCTTGGAAATGAAAGGCATAGACCGGGAAGCGCGCAGGTTGCACTCGATCACCTTGACATCATTCTCTTTGCAGATGAACTGGATGTTGAACGGACCCGAGATGTTCAACTCCCTGCAAAGTTTTTGCCCGATCTGCTTAACACGGCGCTGTGTCTCCACGAATAGTTTCTGTGCTGGAAGGAGCAGAGAAGCGTCCCCACTATGCACGCCAGCGTTCTCGACGTGCTCCGCGATGGCATAGTTCAACATCACTCCGTTCTGAGCCACGGCGTCGAGCTCGACCTCCTTGGCCCCCGCGATGTACTTCGACACCACCACGGGGTACTCGCGGCTCACAACGGCCGCGGCCCGAAGAAACCTCTCCAATTCGCCCGCCGAGTTCACCACTCGCATGGCGGCTCCGCTGAGCACGTAAGATGGACGCACCAGCACGGGAAAGCTGACGCGATTGCAAAAAAAGAAGGCCTCCTCCACGGTCGTGAACTCGGACCACTCTGGCTGGTCTATGCGGAGAGCGTCACAGAGCTGACTGAACTTGAACCTGTTCTCGCAGGCATCGATTGAATCAACCGATGTGCCCAAGATCTTGACGCCGACCTGATGCAGCCGCATGGCTAAGTTGTTGGGTATCTGCCCGCCGACAGACACGATCATGCCGGCGCACTGCTCCATCTCGGCGACGTCGAGCACGGTTTCGTGGCTGAGCTCGTCGAAGTAAAGACGGTCCGATTCGTCGTAGTCTGTCGACACTGTCTCTGGGTTGCAATTGATGATGATTGCGCGCTTGCCGAGCCCTCGCAGCGTCTTGACGCAGGACACGGAGCACCAATCAAACTCGACACTGCTGCCAATGCGGTACGGGCCGCAGCCGATGACCATGATAGGAGCCTCCGGCTGGCTTGTGTCCTCCTCCTGAGAGCCGAGGCTGGCGAGGTTCACGTCGTTCTCGATGCCGCTGTACGTGAGGTAGAGGTAGTTGGTGTGCGCTGGAAACTCGGCCGCGAGTGTGTCGATCTGCTTCACGACGGGAACGATGCCCGCACTCTTCCGCAGGGCGCGGACGTGGTAGTCGTGCACCGGGCCGCCGTGGTACTCCCACTTGCCGTGCGCGCCCACGCCGTCCTGGAAGTGCAGCAGGGGCGCAATCTGGCGGTCCGCGAAGCCGCACCGCTTGGCCTCGCGGAGCAGCTGCGGGCTGGCCGCGAGGCCAGGGAGGTCGAGGGTCTGCAGCGCGTGCTTGACGGCGTGGACGTTCATGAGCTTCGACAGGAACCAGCGGTCGATGCGCGTCAGGCGGTGGACCTCCTCCACGTCCATGCCGAGCTCGAAGGCCTTCGCGATGGCCCACACCCGCGTCGGCGTCGGCCTCACCAGCTCTGCCCGGACGAGGTGCACGGTGTCGTCCTCGCCGCGGTGGGCCAGCTCCAGGTCGAAGCGCTCGGAGTCGAAGCCCCTGCAGGCCTCGTCGACCATGCGGAGAGCCTTCTGGATGGTCTCCTCGAAGGTGCGCCCGATGGACATCACCTCTCCTACGCTCTTCATGCAGCTGCCGACCTCCTGGTCCACCGTCGAGAACTTGCGCAGGTCCCAGCGGGGAACCTTCGCGACAATGTAGTCGAGGCTCGGCTCGAAGCAAGCGGTCGTGCACTTGGTGACGCTGTTGCGCAAGCTCACCAGGTCGCCACCGAGGGCCAACTTCGCGGCGACATACGCGAGCGGGTACCCGGTTGCCTTCGACGCCAGCGCGCTGCTCCGCGACAAGCGTGCGTTGACCTCGATGATGCGGAACTCCTGGCTGTGCGGGTCTACCGCGTACTGGATGTTGCACTCACCCACCACACCCAAATGGCACACCACCTTCAGAGCGCACTCGCGCAGTCTGAAGTACTCGGCGTTCGTGAGCGTCTGCGACGGGGCAATGACGATGGAGTCGCCCGTGTGGATGCCCATGGGATCGAAGTTCTCCATGTTGCACACCGTGATGCAGTTGCCATTTGCGTCGCGCACGACCTCGTACTCGAGCTCCTTCCAGCCCTTCAAGCTCTTGTCGACGATGACCTGCGGGCTGTTCACCAGCGCCACCTGCACCAGGCGCCTCAGCTCGCCCTCTCCCGTCGCGAAGCCGCTGCCGAGGCCGCCGAGGGCGAAGGCAGCCCGGACCAGCACCGGATAGCCGATCTTTGCCGCGGCGGCCACAGCTTCCTCAGCGGTCGTGCAGCAGGCGCTCTCGGCAACCTTGTATCCGCAGTGGTCCACCGCCGTGGCGAACAGCTCGCGGTCTTCAGTCGTGATGACTGCCTTGATCGGTGTTCCCAGCACCTTGACGTCGTACTTGGACAGCACGCCCTCCTCCTCGAGCCTGATGCCGCAGTTGAGCGCCGTCTGGCCGCCGAAGGAGCACAGGATGCCGTCGGGGCGCTCGCGCTGGATCACCTGCGTGACGAACTCCACGGTGACGGGCAGGAAGTACACCCGGTCGGCGTATCCCCACGAGGTCTGCACGGTCGCGATGTTGGGGTTGACCACGATGGAGAACACGCCCGACTCGCGGAGGGCCTTGATGGCCTGGCTGCCAGAGTAGTCGAACTCGCCCGCCTGGCCGATGGTGAGCCCGCCCGAGCCGAGGACGAGCACCTTGCGATAGACTTTCGGGGGCGAGTACGGGATCGTGGTCACCAGCTGGGTCGGGCTGGATATGTTGTTGAGGAACTGATGGAAGAGGAACGCCGTGTCGGTGGGGCCGCCGCACGCCTCGGGGTGGAACTGCACGGAGAACCATGGGCGGCCGCTGTGGATGATTCCTTCGTTGCTGCCGTCGTTGGCGTTGATCATGAGCGGCATCCAGCCGTCTGCCAGCGACGCGTTATCGATGGCAAAGCCGTGGTTCTGCGGGGTGATGTAGCAGCGCGTGGTGCGCATGTCCACGCAGGGCTGGTTCATGCCGCGATTGCCGAACTTCATCTTGTAAGTCTGGGCTCCAGATGCCAGCCCCAGGATCTGATTGCCTAAACAGATGCCGAATATTGGCAAGGTTGGCCGGCGCAGCATGACCTCGCGGACATGCCCGATCGTGACCTCACACATCAAGGGGTTCCCAGGTCCGTTGCTCAAGAATAGGCCATCAAACTCGTCCTTTGTAAAATCGTAGTCCCAGGGCACCACGACCAGCCTGACGCGGAGGCATTCCACGAAGTATCGGATGATGTTGTTCTTCATGCCGCAGTCCACGGCGAGGATGGTGACCTGCTTCTCGGCCTCCTCGGCGAGCGGCGCCGCGGCGCCGTCCGCCGCCCGCGGAGGGGGCACGAACACCTGCTTCTGGGAGCGCGAGACGGTAGCCGCCAGGTTCGTCTCGTTGGGGTCCGAGAACTCCATGGACGCCGAGGGCGCGCTGCCCTCCACGACGACCTTGCCCAGCAGCGCGCCGTGCATGCGGATGAGCTTGGTCAGCGCGCGGGTGTCCACACCGTAGATGCCCGGGATCTTGTGCGCCTCGAGCCACTGCCCCAGCGTCCTCCTCGCCGTGTAGTGGGACGCCACGAAGGAGTAGTCCGAGACCACGAGGGCCTTGATTCATGATGCTCCCATCGTACTCAAAGACCACATCCCAGAAATAATCTCGAGCACCCGGAAAAGTGTCGAAAGAGTGTCGAAAGAGTGTCGAAAGAGTGTCGAAACAGCGTCTCCCAGGGCCCGACACGTGAAAACCCCCAAGTTTGAAGGTATTTCTCTGGCGCTCGGAACTCTTTCTGGTGATCAAGGCTAAAGTAGGCTGGAGCATCATAAGCCTTGATGTGTATCCTCTCGCTCTCGAAGTGCCGAAGGAGGCCGAGCGCGTCGCGCTCCTCGCCGTCGGGCACGCCGTAGTTCCCCACCAGCGGGAACGTGAGCACGAGGATCTGCCCGGCGTACGACGGGTCCGTGAGCGACTCGGGGTACCCTACCATGCCCGTGTTGAAGACGACCTCGCCAGTCGTGGATCCCCCATACCCGAAGGAGAAGCCCTCGAAGACGCTGCCGTCGGCCAGCTCGAGCGTGGCCGCCCGCCGGGACGCCAGCCACCCGGCGAGTCGGGCGGGGTCGGCCGGCCGCGCCGCGGCGGCGGCACTGCTCGTCGCGGCCATGGCGCCGAGCTCGGCCGGGTGGGGTCTGCGCAGCAGAGGGTCTTTAGAGCCAAACGGCTTGAGCCAAAAGGGCTGCGGAAATCCTCGCCCCGAGCTTCTCGCTGCGCGGGCGGCAGGCTGGGACCCTCGACCTCGTCCCCTCGCGGCACTCCTGGTGCGGGGTCCCCGAAACGGGGCGGAAGCGCCCGGAGTGAACACAAAGATGCAACAACTGGGTCTCAGGGCTGTGGGGGCCGTGTGTGGAAAAAGAAAACGGCATAAGCAGAAACTTTTGGCGCGAGGTGCCACAAGTTTATGTTAATGGCGTTCTTTCTGCTTCGAGTTCGGGTGCGAGGGCCTCAGGCTTCAGCAGCTGGCCAACATGGAGAAGAACAGTAATACTAACAAGAGGAGGAGGAGGAGGAGGAGGAGGAGGAGGAGGAGGAGGAGGAGGAGGAGGAGGAGGAGAATCGTAATAGTAATGAAAACAAGAGGAGGAGAAGGATGATGATGAGGAGGAGGAGGAGCAGGAGGAGGAGCAGGATCTTCTCCTCGGCCTCCTGCTTCGCCCCCTCGCCCTCTGCCGAGGGCGGGGCGCCGCCCCGCCGACGAGGCGGCGCAGCCTTCGGCGCCGCCCCGCAGCGTGGCGGCGTGGCGGAGAGGCCGGGCCAGCGCTGCCCCGGGCCCGCCGGGGGCCACGGGGCGGTCCCCGGGGGCAGCCGCGGAGGGGCTTCCAGGGCCAGCTGGGCGGAGGGAGGGCGCGGGGCGTCGGCCCCGATTGAGGAAGGGGCCCTGGGACACACAAATAGATATACACACAGATAAAACTATTCCCCATCTCTTCCTGTATTCTGTGGGTTTCTGTCTTCCCCCCCACTTCCCATAGTTTCCCGTATTTTCTGGGGAATCGACGATTCATTGTGTCTGTGTGTTTCTTTTCCTCCTGAATTGAGCAGGGACCCACCGCCCCAGCATTCGTCTAGGCCTACCACGACATGTTCTTGGCACCCGAAAGCGCTCTAAGAACCAACAATCTGTTCTTAGAGCCTTAGGGCATAAGCCCGATGTGTTCAAGCAAGGCAGTCCCATAGGCACGCCAGGACGCTTCGCCACTGCTTGACCCGAGCCTCTCCCAAGCCTGGGCCGGCCACAAAGGATTGGCTGGCCCCCGCTTGCGCTCACCCCCGCCACGTGGGTGGCTCCGGGAGCCCTGCAGCCCCCCAACATTATAACCACTTTGGGGGTGCGATCTTTTACTGCCGCTGGCCTTCCGTCGGCAGAGGCGCCCCCGCTCGACTTGCGCCGACCGTCGCCGAGGCAGAGATGGCAACTCCTTCGACCCTCAAAAACGATGCCCTCTCTCGAGCGCCCCCCACGTGGCCGACACCGAAACCATCCGAATCAAAATCAAATACGTCTCGCGCTATGTTGTTCCCCGCATACTTGAGAACCACATCCCAGGCATCATTTCGAGCACCCGGAGAAATCAGTGCCGAAACAGCGTCTGCCCGACACGCTGGCGGAGGGCCCGACACGAAAACACCCTCCAATGTTGGTATTTCCCTGGTGCTCGACATGTTTTCTTGTGATCAATCGGCTACACGCAGGAGTGACCCTGGGTAAGAATGACCTCTGGTGCGCGGCCTTTGGGAGGCCGCGGGGGGACCAAACACAGGCGCGCGAGGCGCTACTACCGCTTCGTTTTCAGCCATCTGAGGGCCCATCTGTGCCCGCAACAAAGGTCACTCCGGCGAAAGGTCACTCCTACGTCTAGTCGAATCAAGGCTGGAGCAGGTCGGAGCATCCTGAGTCTCGCGTTGACTCCCGCCGCCTCCCGCCGGCCTCTCGCTGGCGGGCCCGCCCCCCTGCCCCCCCCCGCTTGGCCTCCGCACGCCTCCCGCCGAATGGGGGAGGAGGTGCCGCCGAAGGCCAGGCCCCGCTCTGCTGGAGCGCCCGGCGTGGGCCCCGGCGCGCGCGGCGGAGAGGGGCCGCCACGGCAGGGGTCGACCTAAACAGTAGGATTTCGTTTTCAACTTGTTTTCGTTTTCCGTCGTCTTGCCTCCAATCCGCCTTTGCCGCAACACGAAATCGAAACGAGAACAGCCCACGACATCGCCCAAGCGCCGTTTAGGTCGACCCCTGCGCCACAATAGGAGGTGGTGGGGCTCCCAGTGTGTCTCGAGGGAGGGGGGCGTCGCGGTCCGTGGGTGGCAGCGGTGAGGAGTGTTTTGTTTTATTTATGTCCCCAGAGAGTGCTTGCACCGCTTCACCGTTTCAGTGCGAAGTGATCGCGAAGTGATCGCGCTGTCCACCGCCATGTCGCGAGTTTTGGATCGACTACGCCTCCTCTCTTCTCGCTGAGCCGGCGCAGGCCGGTTTTGAATTTTCGTAGCTCCAGTCATTGAGCAACCTAATGAATCCCCGGCCATTTGTCTGCTGCTCATCGGGTTTGTCATGGCATTCACCCGGGCGAAAGAAGAAAGAGAGTGCTTGCACCTAGGGGGTCTTGCTTCTGCCACTGCGGGATTGGACGGGTTCGCCGAAGTCTCGCCGCGTGGCCGCCCGTCGCCGTGGCGGCCTCGTGGCCCCCGCGTGGCCGCCTCGCTGCAGCCCACTTGGGAGGTCTGCCGAGGTCTCGCCGCGCGGCCGCCCGCCTATCTCGGGACCCAAGACGGCCACGGGCGGTAACGTGACCGTCTTGATTTGTTTTGAACTCCACGCTCTGTACGCCACGTTTAGCGAGGCACCCTACGGCAGGGGGAGGGCGCCAGCAGGCGGGAATAACTCCGCCGCACCTCCCCCCGCCCTGGCCCACAAAAAACGGCACAAGAGAGGCCGCCCCTGAGCAACGGTCGCCGCTCGCGGTGCCCGCCGAGGTTTCGCCGCGGTGCCACCCGTGGCCGCCCCGTTGCCGCCCACCGCGCCGTGCTTGCACTTATAAGGGTCGGGAGCGGCCAAGAGGGGGGTGTCCAAGAGGGGGGGGTGCAAATCATGACCGGCGGCATGTGCGCGGCCCAGCGGGGGGGCCTGGGACGTAATAAAATAAGCAGAAGGGCATGAAATCAAAGGAAAAATCATGGCCCGCGCCATGAAATCCACCCCCCCCTAGTCATCCCCCCCCTCTTTTCCGCTCCCGAAAGGGGATCTCTGCCGCCGTCTCGAATCGTTGGGCCACGTGGAGGGCGTCTCTCTCTGCTCGGAGGCGGCCCTGGGCGCGCGCGGCCTCGCCACGCGGCCCCCAGCGGCCCGAGGCTGGCCCCCGCCCACGGTGGCCCCGCGATCGCCCAGGCGGGCCCCGAGGAGGGCCCGCCACGCCTGACGGGTGCCCCCCCAAAAATCTCGGCCACGCCTGGCAGACCTCCCTTTAGTAAAACCTGGTTTCGTGAAAACGGCCTCGGGCCCAAACCTGGCGGGCGCAAGCCTGGAATATGACGGCCGCGGCGCTCTCTCGAGAACCGGAAACGGACGGTTCACTACTCGACGTGTCAGGGTAGGAGGTCTATCCACCTCCGACCCGAGAAGGGCCCGCCACGCCTGACCGGTGCCCCCAAAAATCTCGGCCAAGCCTGGCAGACCGATGCCCCGAGATCGCTTCCAACGGGCCCCCAGGTCGAACCAAGATCCAGCTGATCGGCCCCGACGTGCGCGGCGCGGCCCCGCCTGGCCCAGCGGCCGTGATTGTTCACAACGAGAGGAAGAGAGCGACGATCAGAAACGGGTCTGGCGCGAGATGACATAGCGACCTCACGCCTCAGCTTGCGTAGTTCGCTAGCGCGGCACACCAAGCTGAGAACGAGGGCGCTTACGCGCGACCTGACGCGGGCAGCTTACGCGCGAATGTCGGCACAATCGAACCTGTTAGTCTGCGTCCCGCAAAAAAGGGGCATCGATAGATGGGGTCCAGAACAGGGGGGAAACATCGACCTGTAATCGGCGATTCCTCGTCGACAGATCGGCGATAGGCCTCCGATAGCGAACCTGCATATTCCTGGACCGGGGGTGGGGCTATCGGGCCTCGCAACGGCGATCAATGGGCGATTGGGGGTCGATCTGGCTTCCGTGAAACACCTCGGCGCGCCATGCCTGACCTTGCAACGGGTCCCGAGAGACCTGCTCTAAGCGTTTCCCAATACGAGTGCCCAGAAGCTTGTCAGAATTTCCTTCGGAAGCTCCTTCCAGGAACTTCCAGAGCTCCCTCGAGAGGCCTTCGGGCGGCCTTCTGGTGCCCCACTACCCGGGTTTTGGACTACACGAAAGTGGGCTATTGGGGGTCGATGCACCCCCCTCCTCCTCCTCCTCCTCCTCCTCCTCCTGCTCCTCCTCCTCCTCCTCCTCCTCCTCCACCTCCTCCTCCTCCTCCTCCTCCTCCTCTCCTCCCTCCTCCTCCTCTCCTCCTCCTCCTCCTGCTCCCCCTCCTCCTCCTCCTCCTCCTCCTCCTCCTCCTCCTCCTCCTCCTCCTCCTCCTCCCCCTCCTCCTCCTCCCGTCGTGGCCCCTGGCTCCCGTGGCCGGGCCCCAAGGAGCATCGCCCCCGGCGCGCGCGGCCCCGCCTGGCCCTGGACGAGCCGCGCCGCGGGCTGTGCGCGCGCCGCCGCGGCCTGGGAGCCGCGCGCGGGGCGCGCGCGCGGGGCGCGGGGCCGACGGGCGAGCGACGGCGCGGCCCGGCTGGGCAGGGGCCGATCGCCCGGGCATTCTCGGGTCGGGCGAAAGTGAAGGGGCCCTGGGACACACAAATGAGTACACACAAATGAAATGATTCCCCATATTTTCCTATATTTTCTGGGTTTTTGTCTTCCCGCCCAATTCCCATATTTTCCCATATTTTCCTGGGACTCGAGGATTAATTGTGTCTGTGTGTTTCTTTCCCTGCTGAGAAAGGGGGGGATAGCAAAGGGCGGGGGTGAGAATCGGCTCACGCAGCTGATTATCCCGGCGCCTCCCGGCGCCGGAGGCGTCTATGTATCGAGGCATGGGCCCCTCGGTGAGGCCGGAACCGGCTGCGTGCAGCAAATGTCGTAACCCCCCCTTTCCCAATCCCCCCCTTTCGTCCGGCCCGACATTCCTATGGGCCCAACGCGCCTCTTCCTCTGAGCAGGAAGCTGTTCGAAGACCCAACGAAAAGCACGGCCGTCCTCCCCCCTCTTCCACGCCGGC